TATTTCTCCCCCATGGGGGAAAAACCCCCCCCTGCCATTTCCCGGCCTACCACTCGACCGCTACATGGCGTCACGAACAGGATTTGGGGAAGACGCGATGGAGTTAGAATTAGTTAGAAACTGCCCCTGGCGCAGTGAAAGGCACCACTTGACAAACGCCATGGAACTAGGGGCACACATCACCTATCACCAAGCGGGCGGAACGGGTGAAAGGCTCGTCAGTGGTTACCTTTCACTGAAGGGGGAAGAGGGAGCTTCGAAAGAATGGGAAGCGCATCTTCACCCTGGGGCGTTCGGGTGTGTGATGGGTAGTGAGCGGGTCCTATTTAGGCTCCGCGAGGAAATAAGCACCGCATCCCTCACCAGAGTCATACTGGAGGGCGCAGTAGACCCGACTCTTAGCCAAGAGTATGCCCGCTGTATGCGACTCGTGCGGGAGGGTGGAGAACCGACGCCGATCGACGGTTCAGTCCCTCAGCTCTGGCGTCTGGATTGAGGGGCTGCGAGCTTCTTTCTGAGCTCCGTGAAAATTTAGAGGCGGAGGGACGCGCCACAACTGAGAGGGCAGGCCCGAAGAGTGACAAGGGGAGAATGTTGAATGTGACGTTCCGCACCATAACAACTTTGCTGCGGGAGAATGCGAATTTGGAAGCCCAACTGCTCACAGTCGTTCAGGCGGCTAAAGAGGCGGCAGTAAAAGAAAGCCCCGAGTCAACGCCATTTCAAGATGGCGCCGAGGAAGGAGTGAGCCGCCCGGAGAACCCGGAATGGAAAAGAAGGGCAGAGCTTCAGAAGAACCGGCGGGAATCCGCCCAGCAGCCCCGCCCACTGAGGTGACGTTGCTCCCGGCGGCCCCACCTCCTTACCACGCGGAGGGGGCATCGAGCGGAGGATTGCATCTGCCCCTCCCACCAGACACAGCAACAGCTTCGACAACAGCTCATCCTGTAGCAATAGTCAACCGAGCAATCAATGCGCAGGGTGCAGTTCGCACCACCACCTATCGCGCTCGTACTTGGACTGAGTTACAGGAGTTATGCAAGGAATCAAAAATAAAGCTTGAAGAAACTCTGGCCATGTGGCTAGGACGCCTGGTCGTGGAGTTTGGATCCGACTTGCTAGACTTGGAAGAGGCAAGCTTCCTGACCCGGCAAGCCTCGTGGAGTGGGGGGCACGCCACCGACATAGATATAGTGACGTGCAACGTTCACTGGCCCATCCCACTTCCAGTGCTTGTTGCGGGCCAAGTCGGCCACAAATCCCACGCATGGCACGATGGCCGCCCATCGAAGACCAGAGCAGAACAAATTTTACTAGCAATAATAGGAATCTCATACTGTTCCTGGAACTCCAGAGCACACGCACTGGGACTGACACCGCCCCAGCAGAGAGGACCATGGCCTCACCGCCACCTGCGAAACCCTGGAATTGT